AACAAAGGACTCCACTCTTTCAAAATCACTAGGAGCTCACTTTCTCATTGCTGTATTTCCAACAGCTACAATAATCCTCACTGCTTTTTGGCAGCCAATAACGTGCATTTATTTGATGGCCAGATTCATATTGTTGCTATAAACAAGCTTTATTTCAAGATTGCACATAAAAACAGCACCCATTTTCTCTTTAAAACATTTCTGTATTCCTGATGCAGAAGCCGTGTTTCGAGAGAGAGAAAGCTGAAGGGCCGTGAAATCCATCTGCCTCAGCGCAGGAATCCAAACGAAAGAATCCTGAGAGTTCTTTGCCTCCACCCGAACTCCTCAACTCAGAGTGCTTAGTAAGAACTGAGGATCCTTATACGCTGTGTTTCTTTCAGGTATTTTCTATCACAACAGCATTTCTTCCTGAATCTATCTGTCCTAGTTCAGCTGCTGGAAACAAGCCCCCGACATATCAGCACAGTCCACTACGTGGGCCCTACTTCCGTGCAAAAAGGGACAGAGCTCCCAAACGATGTGAACTCCCTAAGCACTATTGTCTGCCACTGAGTGTCCACCAGGCGGCAGCCAACGCCACCCAATGTTTACAACTTTTAATTCATGCCAAACGAAACCAAGATTATGCACAGCCCAGAGGAAGAACGGAGGAGTTGTAATTGGCAAGAGCCACGGGATACTCACTCTCTGAAGTAACACGCTCCTCTGGAGCTGGTTCATCAGTTCCCTGTACGGAAGCATACCCAGATGATGCAGTCTCGCTATGATTATCTCCTTCATTAATTGAAGGGATATTAGAGGCTTCACTAGACACAGTGGCTGCTTGAAAAGACTCCACTCTGTCTTCTATATCCACCTGTGTCAAGTAGAATTTCAAGGGAAGAAATGTATTAGCAAAATAAAGTTATTTCTCCAAAGTCACAAGCTCTCTTCCTGCCATCTACATTTACCTTTGTTTTCTTCGAAGGGATCCGACTGCCTTTCAAAGATGGTAAATGAATATGACATCTTAAGCGTGCAGGTTTATTCTGCACAGAAAGGCAGCTTGGAAACATGTAAGGAGGAAATACATAGAAACTGCTATACATTTTCTCTTTGTAAATTGGGTGAAATGTCTTTTCAAGCCGATTATGACATTGCAATTATTTTTTAGAGCAAATCTAGAAATGGCAGAGAGCAGACAATCAGTAACTTAACCGCAGCGCATAGATTTACCTCAATTCCCAAAGCCTTGAGTATGTCACATTTACACATGGGACACGTCCTATGCTCCAACAGCCAGGGATCAATACAGCTCTTGTGAAACAGATGACTGGAAAAGAAAAAGGAAGAATTTATAGTATGACTCAACAGATTAGAGCAACATTTTTCTGCTAAACATTTTTTTTTTAAATGTAATTGACTCGGTTCACACATTATGTGAAGTTATGTTTTGCTTAATCATGGTCTGTTGAATAAATCACCAAATGGGTTTGGTCCCATATCATGCAGCCATACACCAAATCAGAATGACTTCACACGGTACACTAACATCCTGATGTTTGGTTTTGCCTTGTGGCCTTGCAAATCCAGATTTATTTATTTATTTGTACATAGACTTATCCCCACCCATCTCCCTGCAATGGGGGACTCTGGGCGGTTTACATCAAGTTAAAACAATAAACACATGATTAAAATTTATAAAAAGACAAACACATCTACACAGATGGAAAGAAGAGAAAGATACTGTTTAAAGGTGCACAGAACTTTATAATCACCCAAGAGTTAAGCAGGGAGTCTTGGTATGCAACTTGCTTGTATGAATATTGTTATTCAGTTCGTTGGGTTATTTTAGGAACCTAACACAATATTAAAATGTTAAGATCTTGAATTTAAGTCTGGAGCTACTTGGAATATAACGATACAGAAGCTTTAATAAACAAATCCATTCAAATTGTAATCCAAAGCTAAACATGATCATTGCAGTCTAGATGGTTCAATTATACCTGAACGTGAACCAAAATTGACCAATGTTTTTTTGAGCCACCAAGTAAATGCCATGAGAAACAAAGCACAGCCAGTAGAAACCACTTCCCGGAACACAGGAGAGGAGAGATTGCTTTAGTATGAGGATATAACTGTTGGGGAGGGGATAAAAAAGACAACCTACTTGCAGGTTAAAATCCGCACAACATCATTCGGTTTGTACACTTCAATGCATACAGCGCAGTTATCTGCATCCGGGCCAGTCTCCTAAGAAAAGAAAACATTTGTTCTACTTAGAGGTCTTGTGTTCAACTAACCAGAGAACATGTAACAACTAGAAGGATTGGGGTTCAGCTGACTCCTCACGAATGAATGGACCACCAGCTTTGTAGCATCCGAAAATACTGTTTTGTAACACGAAACTAACAAGGATGGATTCTTGAAAATAATCTGGAGACAGAGTGATAGTAAGAGTGACAGGATCTATCACAGTGTTGTCCAAACTTGGCCACTTTAAGATGAGTGGACTTCAACCTCCAGAATTCCGCAGCCAGCCATGCTGGCTGGGGAATTCTGGGAGGTGAAGTCCACTCATCTTAAAGTGGCCAGGTTTGGACAACACTGATCTATAGAAATGTGGAGACAACAACTGACCAACTGAACACCTTCAACAACAGCAATCCTATGCTTTTATTTTGGTATTCTTGTTGAATTTCCCTGTGTTTTAGAATAATATAGATAAATCTAAAGCCAAAATATAGCCTTTTTTTTTTCAAAATTAACTGAATGTAATTCTTTGAACAAGTCAAATCTTCTGAATAACCTTCAACCAAACCTTTTTTAAAATTGACACTCTGAATTAAGTTCTCTCTTTTTACACTGACTTGTGAAGTTCATAATAACCGTACTAAAACATCTCCTTGCTGCAAGGAATGAAGGTGCAAGATTCAAACCGGCCCAGCATAACATGCAATCTTGCAACATCATAGGAAATTAAAAAAGAGAGAGAGAGAGAGAGAGAACCTACAGATATAGTTATTTTCTGGAACAGTGACAAGAACTATTACTGGGATTAAGAAAGTAATTGAAGGCCAAGGAAAGTTCTCATAGGCTGCCTACACCACACTCATGCCCGCAAAAGCATTCAGAGTGGCTCTGCAGCCTAAATGCAGAACAAACACAGATGAATAACCAGGAGTCTATTAGAAGAGCTGCTACAAACTGAACAGCTGCAGCCTAAAATATTATCCAAGCCACTGTGTTAAGCACTGTAAGCTTGTTGGGAAAAAAATCTGTTTGTAATGAAAGAATGAAGCACTGGTAACAGACCAGTTTTAGCTCCCTGAAAAGGGACCCAGCTAGCACATCACCCAGAAATGGAGAAAGGCATTGGTTGAAGAATTGCAAGGGGAAAGCAAGGGCTTCATGCCAAGAACAGGCTGGGGTTAGGGTTAGGGTTAGGGTTAGGCCCTTTTAGGATGGTGCAACCTCATTGCAAATGCCATCTCCTCGTTCTTGCTGGTCATACCTTGTCTCCCTGTTTTAATGTACGCAACTGAAGCCGCCCAATAGCTTTTCTGGCATCTGCTTTCAGCCGTCTCTGTAATAGACAAGCACCATGTCAATGCAGAACTGGTTCTCCCATAAAATGTTTAGACACCAACTGCTACACAATTAACAATGGATAGGGTGTTTCTCTAGATAGATAGAGAAAACCTGCACTGGAGTATTACCCAGGGCATAATTATTAGTCAAGAGACACAGGTATGTTGTTGAACTGTTTATTTGGCATTTACAAAAATATTACATAGTTTATTCAGATAGGTTTTAGTAAAACTGAAAACATTACAGTGGAAATACCGAAATGCCATCTGAATTGTTTTTAGATGACTGATTCATTAAGGTTAAAAACAGGTTCTCCAACAAATCACTCACATGCATTTGCTTCACATTCTCCAAAGACCTTTGTATTTGCTTGATACTAACTGCACAGAAGATGGATGTAAAGATGGAAGAAACTTGTTTCAGATGCTATCCTGCAAATTTCTGCTATGTTTCAGCCAAATCATACATTGCTTTGAACTGACCTCAACCAATTTTTCAGTAGGAATGAGGAGAATGTATATAAATTTCATCTAATCTGGCTGTAAGTCATTATTTTTTCTTTCAGGCATGATAGAGGTGCTGAAAGAAATCTCCACCAACCTATATTCTTTGTTTTCAGTCATACTGTTGAATGCCAACTAGTCTGGATATGGTTTAAAAATCACCTATCTCTGATCTGACTGCTTAAACAGCCAACTGCAGTTATATCAGAAGTTTTTCATTTAGCAGTCATCCAGTGGCATCCATGAGATGAGGCGGTCATAGATACTTAATGAATTTGAAAGATTCACATCCTTTTATGAGGCTATAAATACAGCTGAGCTAGCACACAATCATTTTGCGCCAATACAACTCATTAAACATTCCAAAATTAATTTTAGTTTGGATAGAGAAAGCAAGGGGAAGGTTGTAATTATACACTGGAAGAACCTGAAGTGGTGAGATGCCTGCAACAAAAGAGGCAATGCTGTCTCTCCAAGGCACTAAGCTAGTTACGCATGGAAAAACTATAAGAAAACACTCCAGTTTTGCTTCAAGTGTTTGTAGGTGGTAAGCATTGGCCTAGTTCCCGTTCTCTTGCCCACAGTAACCCTTAAAAGATATTGCTTGAGCTATCCTTGATTAAAAAAAAATCCGAAAAGTATTCCAAGAATTTATTTACTGACCTTGAAAAATGGCAATTCACTAAACACCTACGTTATCTAGAGAAGTATATCTTTTGAGTTAGTGCATTACTGACATTTAAGGAAAAAAAGGAGCTGGCTATGACAAGACTATTTTCAACCAGAATAAGACTGATCCATTACAAAAATTCAACCAAAATACAAATTCCACAAATTCCCCCCAAATCAGGAAGTGTATTATATTATTAAGTTATGTGTCCAGATGTATGTTAATACATTTGCGGTTTCTATTTTGCATGGATGAGTTTGTCAGAGGGGCACTTAAGTACTATAATGGAAAATACAAGAATATAATTTTAAAAAATCCAAGTAGAAAGGTTTTCTTTTCAGTCTTTTGTTAGGATAGTATTAAGTTGGCTATAGGAACTGAGCTATACAGATTTAACAGTGGCATCTACCTCTAGCATTTGACTTCAGCAGAGACGTAAAGTTTTGATTTCTCTTGACTTCGTGAACACATCCATATGTATTTTTAAAGTCTTGACAACAATACTAAAGTGATTTGCCTTTGTTTTTTTCCAGAATGCTTTTTCAACTTCTCAATCTAAAGTGCCCAGATGTCCTAATACTCTCCCATCTAAGTACTAACCAAGTCAGAATCTGTTTAACTTCTAAATCAGCCAAAGTTGGCCAGGAGCTGCCTATATCAAATTGGGACCATCAGTACAATATTCAACAGAGAGGGTATAAACTGATTTGAAACTGAAATAGTTCAGCTGTGCACATAAAATCCACAATGGTGGCCTAAAATAATAATTTCTCACTTTTCCAAGCTAATAGGCAAACATAGGGTTCCTGATGATTAAATCTCACACTTGTAAAACACAGAATTGCACACAGGAAACTCTGATAAAATATTTAAAGCATTTTGTTTCAGAAGCACTGACTGGGAAGAGAGTTTATTCTGTGTACTGTATGCGTAGCATCTTACAGGGCTTCACAAGAGTGTTATATAATTCTACAGAGATGTGTCTAATTAACAATTCCCTGACTGAGCTTTCAAAATCCAAGACAACAGCAGTATCTATTTTTCTTGGCAAGGTTTTTGGAAGTGGTTTGCACTGCCTTGTTCCTGGGACTGAGAGAGAGTGACTGGCCCAAGGTCACCCAGATGGCTTCGTGCCTAAGGTAGGACTAGAACTCATGGTCAATTGTTTCTAGCTTGATGCCTTAACCACTACACCAAACTGGCTCTCTTAAATTACAGTTAACACCTGTCTATTAAAAGGTGATCCCCACATTAAAGACATATGGCAGCCATTATTTTTTTTCTAGAGAGCATGTGATAATTGTGATATACAGCAGCATTCAGCACATACAACCTTCTTTATATTTTAGGCTTGGGGAGAAAGCTATAGCATTTTGAGCCATTTCAGAACCAAGAATGGCAAATTTATTGTCTGTTTAAGAAAACCTTATGCTGGTTATTTTGCCAGGTATTTATAAGGTGTAGCTGTTCAAATCCTAGAGAAGAAGGAGTGGCTTATAACAGAAGGGAGCAAGTCACTGGAAAAACTAAGCTGGTTTGCCAACAGGTGGTACAGAAGGAAGGGGAAAAACTCACCTGTCTCCTGTTCTGGGCCCTTGCAAGTCTAAGCCTTCTAGCAGAATAAAATATGAAGTACCCCACCGTGGCGGCTGTGACAATGAAGAAGGACACCGAAACGAAGAAAATGGAATAATTATTCATCCATGATCCATGCTTTTTCCCTACTTCGATAGCCATTGTCACTTGGTAGCCCATTAGAATCTTCTCAAGGATTTCTTTGCCTTTTGAATGGCTAATCATGATGGCCACCGTGTTTCCTGTACCTGTGTGAGAGAGATTAGAGGGTGAGATTGTCATTGCAAATGTAACTGCTGACTTTTGAGTATTTGGTATGCTATTCTTTTATTTATTTAATGAGTTTATATGGCTGTCCATCTCTCACACACAACTTTACCCATTCAACAGACCCAATTAACAGCCATTAGGATGTTTGCTTGTAGGAAGAGCCCAAGTGATGGTTCAAAAGTGAGGTTTTGGATTCTCCTGTAACTGCCACCATTAAGGTGAGGGTGGAAGCACACCTTAATTAATGCTGGCCAAATAAAACTCTTCCAGAATGGGGCGGGGGAGAGGGGGACTACTTCTCACCGTGGTGTAACTGACATGACCCAACATTTATTCAGCTACAAAGCTGCCTAAGTTAGAAGATGACTTAACAAGGTCATTTCAAATAATATTCAAAACAATTACACTTATCCATACAGGAGACCTTAGAATGGGTTGCACAACATTTTCTGGGCCAGAGTTGCACTCCAAAAAATAGTGGTTATAAATCAAGTGACATCTGATTTTGTGTTAGTGAAAATCAAACATATTTAATATGATTACTCACCAGTCATATATATAATACTTTCCTCATGTCACATCAAGTCTCACTATTTGTTAACAACATCTGTACATTCCTAAGGGCATCAATTCAAGGGTTGCATGCAATCCTGGGACCTCATATTGTATACAGGTAGGTCTTGTTTAGCAACTGACTTGTTTAGTGATTGTTTGCAGTTATAATGGTGATGAAAAAAGTAACTTTACAACCAGTCCCCACATTTACAACCTTTGCAGGTCTGTAAAGCAAAGGAAAGCTGACGTCAGATCGTAAGCCCAGTCACAGTTTCATTTAGTGACTGCTTTGCTTAACAACCAAGTTGCCAGTTCCAATCATGGTCTCTAAATGAGGACAACCTGTACTTCTACCTTAAGAGAGCTGTTACCAATCACAGCAGCCAACACTAAGTTAGACAAATCACTGATCTCACTCAGTACAAAGTAGCTTCACATTCTCAATTCAGACCAATGTAGCAGTCATTCTATTATTTTAGTATGCTGAAGGGATAATCAATGAAAACAGTACCCCTAATATTCTAAGTGATCTGCCAATTACTTCAGCAGCAAACAGAGATTGGCGACTAGCAAAAACATCTGGTTATCGTTGATACCATAATCTCGACTCTGACCAAAATAGGATTCTTTTACCATCACTTACTCCTTTCAAACTGATGCTCAAAGATTCGCTGCTGTCCCAACCCCATTTAAGGCATTTAAGTCTTAGTTGCAATCTAGCATGTGGCAATCCATGCCCTAGTTGGTCTTGCAACACAGCATTCCAGTTTACCTGTCTCCCCAATAAAGAAGTTTGAAATGATAGAATTCTGTATTAGGTGTTCAACACACACACATACACACACACACACTTAACTGGGAACATTAAGCAGATTTTGGGGGGTTCCCAGCCATTCCAAGGAAGATCTGTCTAGCGCCATAATTAATCTTCCACTGGCAGGCAAATACATTTTTATTAGCTTTCATTGTTTATTACTTTGATAAATATGTACTTTTATTTATTGAAAAACAATGATTAAACACTGAATTCTAATGTAAATTCAGTTGGTTTGAGGAAGTGGGTTTATTGATGTTTTAAAAAAAAATAGATTGATGTTTATAGTTTTGCATTTTATTATTACACTATGTTTTGTTTTTTTAATGACTTGAGTGTCATTTGGTAGAAGCGCAAGATTTAAATTTAGCATAGTTAATAACATACAAACACTACAGCTGAAAGATTCTAGCAATATTATATAGCCATCCCTGAATCCACTTGCCCAACACAATTCTCAAGTGACGCAGCCAACCTGTACGTAAACAAAGTTAACACTTCCAAGCATATGTGAGTTAGGATAAATTATCCAATAGAGCCCCAACACCTAAAATGGTTGCCAACCTCTGATTCTGAGGGAGAAAAAATCACTGCTCAACACAAAATAGAATTTTAAGCAAACTGAACATGAAAAACGCTATCAACCAAAGTTTGGATTTCTCACTTCCTGTTCAACAGAGGAAAAGTAAATGTGTCCTTTGCACCTGCTGGCCAACAAGGAGATTTGAAGAGAAATAACAGGGTGTGGGTTGTGTGGTGCAACTCCTCCCTGTCAGCCCATCTGGCCAGTGCCACATTTCCACACAAGATGCAACTTGCACTATCTCTGCTTTGTTAGCAGTTTGTTGAGGTGAAGGTGGAGTGTACAAGAAGTTTTACATGTTTACCGCAATGAGAATTTCTAAGTGGCACTTACAACTCCTAGTGTCCATGGTTTTGATAACTGACCTATAGTATAAAAAATATTCCTCAACACTTTAAATTAATAACTGTACTTCCATATTCCATGAGACTCAGATTTTCCAAGGCAATCTTTCTGCTTAACAGAGGATCACATACCAGCAAAGTAGTTGCTAGTTTCAACTTGACACTCTAGGGAATTTGACCTCACTTATACATTCGTAGAATAATTCAAATAGTAGAAAGGAACGAACTATTTGATCTGTAAGGTTTTTCTATAATACAATTGTATACCTACTACTAACCGTGCAATTTAACTACACTTAGATTAACATTATATCTTTCTGGAACATTTAATCACAAGTGTGCCAGTGTGTGCTGTGGAACAGAGTATCACCACTGGTGCTTAGAATAGTTTCTGGTCCTCTTATCAAAATGAGGCATAGGCAAATTAATTTGCACTATCTGAAAGTGTTTCCTCACAAATGTGCAGGAACTATTCAGCTGATTCTGGGTTCTCCCTTTGTATTCCAGATCAGGTGAAAAACAAGTGACTCTACAGATGGTAGTTCAGCTAGAAGTTTTACAAGTATCATTTGTCATCCCTTAACTACTCATTAAAAATACAAGTATGAAGCTCTAATCTATTTAAATGGGAAATGACTCTTACTATTCTAAAAACATGTTCACAACATGAATACAATTAATACAAACTTCTAGGTCTCATTTGCCATCATGGATCTGTACCTTCTCTAATAATGAAGCCCTTGCTTTTGACTTTGAGAAGGCTGTAAAACACAGGAGCCGAGAATCTTAATGCTGATTAATATTCCAATCTGTTAACACGTACTTTAGTTGCTCTTAGTAATGCAGGCAGTTAAAATGTTCACAATGTTTTCAAGCAATTCGCTTGTTTGAATGTATTACCTTTTCTTTCTTGGACCACCACCTTTTTTTTCCCCCCTGAAATACATGTCAGGCATGTTTTGCTAGCTTAAGTTAGCTAAAAAAGAAACCAATGGGTTTGGCTTCTTCATTTTTGTAAGGAAAATATTTACAATTTAAATGCATACTTCTCCAGGCTAAAATGTATGCAGATCAACTTTCTGTCTTTGTTTCTTCCCTTAAAATGTAATAAAATAGTTATTATTCAGTTGTTGTGACTTAAAATGTTTACAAGCATTACAATAAAGCTAGTTCTAAATAAAACTTAGAAAGTTAGCATTTAAATGGCACTGAAATCATTTTAGTACACAGTGGTAACTTAAAATGTTCAACACAATCAAATTCAGTTAGGACATCTAAAAGCCTTCTGATGCAGATTTTTTTGGGGGGGGAATATATCACTCAATTAAATGTAATTCAGATATATCTAATGCACCAATACTTCCCAGTGCAGGAGTTCTCTTGATACTAAAAGCTTCTTGATCTATGATATCCCAAGTATCTAGATATTACATAGATACCCCCAAAAGCATACTTTTTCTGCGAGACAATGCAATTCAGTGTGATTTCTCTGAATTCGCAAACTGAATTTGCAGTGTGACTGCAAAATGCTTCAGACTGACTTCAGAAAAGGTGCTTTGGGACACACAGCGCCTGTCTACGACTCATTAAAGGAGCTGCATTGTTTTCCAAAATCACACAACTGCAGCAGAAGCACCCTCACAACAGCATGTGATCCTGGAAAATGATGCGGCTGTCCCAAACTGAAACTGAAGCATTGTATAGCCACCGTATCTCAATGGTTGGCTGGTTCAAAGAAAGAATGGCGTTCATTATTCCCGTTATACGTACTAAGTTTCTTCATGACTAATTCAAATGACAGGATACTGACAATACAGCCCTCATACGGAGGAAAAGAACAAAGGTTCAGTCTAATAGTTGCTTTTTATTTCGATTTTTTTAAACGACAAAAATTTAGTAGATCCTAGTAATATAGGCATAATCAAAACAAGGAAAATAGTTTTAACCAACTGACCAATTCAAACCAAAAATATGTCAGAATTAACACACGTTTTCCTATGTTAGGTTTCAATGCACATCCAAGTGTTTATTTGCCAACAGTCCAATATTTGGAAGGAAAACTTCTTCAAGTAGTGACAACTTGCTCCCAAATTTACAGCAGGAAGCTGGAAAACCTTCAGGGAAAGAGACAAGTTAAGTACTCTTTTCACCTGATTGCTCAGAAGTAGCCTAGAAGAGACCTCAAGTCTGCTAGTAAACAGCCAATTCAGCTGTCATTGTCAAATAACATCTGTACAATGAAACCTTCCTTTAACAATCTTCATTAAAATGCTTTGAGTCAAGCTCAGAGACTATTATTATATCCCTCAGTGGGTAGATCTGAGATATCACAACCACACAATTCAGAATTACCCCTTTTGCACCTTTGCTCTCTTCCTACCTTATCAGGAGTGCAACTGTAATGTAATAGATTTGAAGTTCAGCAAGTACACGATAAGTGTGCAAGTAAAAAAAAAAGCACTTGGAGCATGACTCTCAAGACTATAAGATGTTTAGCCAGTCATGTCTCAACATGAGCTCACACAAAGGTGTTTCACTAAATTTTTTTTTTAAATTAGTAATATTTATACCCTTCTTTCTTCCATCACAAAAGTAAAGGAGCATATGTGGATCACAAGAGTCTCCACAGCCAGGCCCCTGTTTTCTTTCACTATCATTATAGGATGTGTGCTATGTGTGTGC